CTATTAAATACTTAAAAGGCATAATTGATGTGAAAGGAAGTACCATAATCCACGCTGAGACATGAAAATGACAATTATTGTGACTTTAATTATCCCATGTGATAGAATATCCCTGGCAATAAGGCACCCTCTTCCTGGAGAAGTAATGCCAAACATTTTACCTCTCTTCTGGTGAGACAAACGATTGAGTTGCATTTTTACATCACATCCCATGGCCCTTATTCCCTTTCCTGCTCAGCATCCAGTGTTTTTAGGACAGGAATGTGCTTTCCCTGTGCTGACAGTAAGGTCATTATTGGTGCCAAATGCTGACTTCGTAGCCCCTAGTCTCTGCTTTGTTGTGAGATGTCTCTGTTCTTCATGTGAGTAAAGAATTGCCTACAGGGAACTCGGGCCTGTTTAATGGACGAGTGCAGAGTGACAGGAGGACACAGATCAGTGCCTTAATGCAAACCCCGTGGCTGCAGAGAGCCCCTGAGTTTGGGCTCTGGGTTGCTGCTCCCCTGCAGCACAATGTTGTTCTGGTCCAGATGCCTCCTCTTGTTTGCTGGTTGAACGCTGATCTGTGGTGACAAACAGCGGATGGAGCGTGGCCTCTCCAGGAGACAAAAGTGAAATCCTGTCCAAATTACTCTTAAGAATTGCTCAGGTGACCTCATTTTGCCTTCCACAATCAATTTGTCAAAGGAACCACTACTTAGAGTGGTACTGTGTGTTTAGAGTTTAGCCTGCAGTCTGCAAAAATGGTAACATTAAAATCCAAAACATGGGCATATAAACAAGCAGCATCACAGGAATTGTGTCCCTGAAAGGTGTTGACAAACCTGTCCAGTATGTCTCAGCATGGAAATGTTAATTCTGAGTGAGATGCTGCTGGTGTGTGAGGTATTTAATAGAATCCTAGAATTGTTCAGGTTGGAAAAGATCTCTAAGATCATCAAGTCCAACTGTTCTTTCTGTGTGTCTGGGCTTTTACATCTGAGTGGTGATTGTGTTAGATCTGCTGGCAGAATGTGAAACACCTGTAAGGAATTAAGAACAAGGAATCAAAGAATTATAATTATTTTTGCAAAGAGTTCTTTAGAAAAGAGAAAATGCTACACCTGCTTTGCATTACTTGGAGTGACACAAGAAGTGTTTGCTTGATAAAGTCAGTACCAGTAGTATTTGCTGCTCAGTGACCTTGCTCTGCAGCTGTTGGAGAGCAGGAATGCCAGCAGGGTCATCTCTGCAGTTGTTGATGGCGAGCAGGCAGCGAGTGCTGTGTGCTGGGGATGTGAAACTCAACTCCAGAACATCATCGGGGTGGGCATCAGTGAATGCTGTGTTCAGAGAGCTCCCTCTGCACTCTGATCACATGAGCTTGCCTTGAAGCTTTTTGAAGATACGTTTGAGACACTTGTGTTTCACTGATTAAGAATAAATCACTGGGCTCGTTGCTGAGAATTGTGAACCTCTAATTCTGCTAGAGAGCTTATCCTAGGTGGGAAATGGCAAACGTGGCCTTTTACTGGCTGCATGGGATGGAGGATTTCCATGGCTGTACTTTCCAGTGTGACCCCACTGGAGAGGCAGCAAGACTTTGTCCAGCAAGATCCTCTGGGGGTGTTTAGTGATCTTGGCAGAAGGTCACGGAGCGGTTTGCAGTGTTGGAATGGAGGGTGTAACCCCCTGTGCCCCAGCCCCCGGAGAGGGCCGGCACCTTGCAGAGCCTGGTACTTACGGTGCCTGTGCATCCTGCTCTGCTTCCGAGCGCCCGGGGAAGAGAAGGTGAGCGGCAGCCGCTGCCGAGGGCCCTTCAGGACACAGGGCGTAGGCTGCGAGCCAAATCACTTGTTTGGGTTGGCTGCCGTGGCTGCTGGCTGCTCTCGTCCCGGGGCCTGAGGGACTCCTCCGGTCCTGGGAGCGGATCTGTGCTAATTGCGGGCCGAGAGGGGCGGCAGGAGCCGGGCGGCGCTTGGCTCGCAGCCCGGCCGGGCGGGCTCCGGGCGGCATCCCCCTCCGCGGGCATCCCGCCCGCAGTGTTAAACATGACACCCCTTGCGCTGTGAATTCGGAACGAACCCGCTGCTAGATGAGCACTGAAAGCAGATTTCTGTAGTTCGTCTGGCCGGGGCTGAAGGGGGATGGCCGGACCACCAGGTGATGGTGGGCTTTGCACCAGCGGCACAGGCGGCTGCAAAACAACTCGTCCTGTTTACCAGGAAGCCTTACGAGAAGTTGCAGGGTGGTAAGTTGTGATGAGTAGCAGCGGAGCAACCTTGGAGTACCACTTACTGCCCGTAGGAAGAGCTGCTGCAGCATCCCGACGGATGATGGATGTCCGCGTTCCCACCCGATGCGAGCGGAGCGCAGCCCCAAGCGGGGAGAAGGGGAGTGTGGGATGCTCCGGAGAGAGCTGGAGGAATGTGCCGGCTATTCGTCTGCGCTTAAAAGTGGTTCCTCTGGAGGGGTCTGTCATCCCGGAGGATGAAAAATGGTTGATCCCGCTCCGGGTGAGGAGGCTGCGCTCCCCGCGCGGCACGCTGGAAAACGCGGCCTGGATCGCGAGGCGGAATGAGTCCTGGCGCACTCCAAGTCTGGTGAATTTACAGATTTACATATTGAGAAAAACATAAACAACAGATTTTCACACTTAGGCTCCTATTTTGTAACAGGTTTTTCCCTCGCCGATCTCTTCCCTTTGATTTTTTTCTTTGGAAATCCCCATTAGAAGTGGCCTTTTGGGTGTTGGAGAAATGTGCCAGCGTTCTATGGCAGCGAACAACATTTAGAAGGAACTGGAAATCTCCTTTTGGGCTGGCCAAGGGAGACCTTAAGATCCCAGAGACATTATATATCACCTTGTTCCAACTTTGCCACGGGCAGGAGCACCTTCCACTAGAGCAGGTTGCTCGAAGCCCCTCATCTTGAATCCATATCTGCTGAAACTACATGTGCAGGTCTATTCCATGGTGAATAGAGCTAAGAGGAATAATCAGTGTTAATTAGTCAGCGTTAAAGACAGCACCGATATCTGTAGGAATGAGCTAAATCAGGAATTCTCTATGTTAACAGAGCAGCAGTATGGCTTGTGGGATCACGGTGTCACCAATAAATGGATGTGTGCAGAGGCTGGGACCCAGAGCGTCCCTTATTCCTGGTGTCAGAGTTTGGAGCTGCTCCTGGGGGTGAGCCCCAGCCTGATGTGCCCCCAGGTCTGGAGCTGCTCCTGGGGGT